TGGACAGAAAAGCTCCCTCCTTCCTCAGCACACAGCTTATATACAAAATCCGGCCAATTGCAAGTGGGCTCAAGTCCATGCATGGAACACACCAATCCGCTGTCTGTTCACGCAGTGTGCACATGTCCTCGGGCCAATCAGATGAGGTGTCACCCAGCAGGCAGGCTCACCGCATAGTCCTCAGCACCATCTTGTTGTTTACGAGACAGGCTCAGTGCCTCTGGAAAGTCCCAACCGTGGGAAAGCATTGCCCTAACCGAAACTAGCAACATCCGCCTTGTGATAAAGACACAGCAACAGCTATCAGACAGACCTTGACGTGGGGGCTCCATGGCTGCGCATCCCATGGAGCCCCACAGGACAGGATAGAAAATCTCTCTCATGATAGTGAAATCATAAGGAAGAATCAAAATGAAATGAGGAATCTAGTAGAACATGAAACTGTGATATTGAAGAGAAATCAAAATGAAATGAAGAATTCAATAGATCAAATGACAAATGCATTTGAGAGCCTTAACAGAATCAGTGAGACAGATGAGAGACTATCAGACTTAGAAGATGGAGCACAGGAAGTATACAAACCAAAGAAAAGAAGAGGAACTTAGAAATTAAAAAAAAATATTGTTGGGAATATACAGGATACTATTAAAAAAAAAACAACAACAACAACATTTGGGTTCTAGGAGTTCCTGAAGGCATGGAGAGAGAGAAAGGATTAGAAGGCCTTTTTAAGCCGGCGCCGCGGCTCAATAGGCTAATCCTCCGCCTAGCAGCGCCAGCACACCAGGTTCTAGTCCTGGTTGGGACGCCGGATTCTGTCCCCGTTGCCCCTCTTCCAGGTCAGCTCTCCGCTATGGCCCGGGAGTCCAGTGGAGGATGGCCCAAGTGCTTGGGCCCTGAACCCCATGGGAGACCAGGAGAAGCACCTGGCTCCTGCCTTCGGATCAGTGTGGTGCACCGGCCGCAGCGCCGCGGCGGCCATTGGAGGCTGAACCAACGGCAAAGGAAGACCTTTCTCTCTGTCTCTCTCTCTCACTGTCCACTCTGCCTGTCAGAAGAAGAAGAAGAAGAAGAAGAAGAAGAAGAAGAAGAAGGCCTTTTTAGTGAGATACTAGCAGAAAACTTCCCGGGGTTGGAGAAGGAGAGAGACATCCAAGTACAGGAAGCTCATAGGACTCCCAATAAACATGACCAAAAGAGAGCCTCACCATGACACATTGTAATAAAACTCACCAAAATGAAACATAAACAAAAGATTCTAAAATGTACAAGAGAGAAACGTCAGATTACTCTCAGAGGATCTCCAATCAGACTCACAGCAGACTTCTCATCAGAAACCCTGTAGGCTAGGAGGGAATGGCGAGATGTAGCCCAGGTACTAAGAGAGAAAAACTGCCAGCCCAGAATATTATATCCTGCAAAGCTCTCATTTGAGAATGAAGGTGAAATAAAGACCTTTCATAGCAAACAGAAATTGAAAGAATTTGTCCACTCGGCCAGCCCTGCAAAAGATGCTTAAAGATGTGTCACACACAGAAACACAAAAACATGGCCATCAATATGAAAGAAGGTAAAGGAAGAAAAACTCCCAATAAAAGATCACAGGAAGTTCAAAGCATATATTAGAAAATATCTTTGGGAAAATGGCAGGGCAAAATTACTACTTATCAATAGTCATATTGAATGTTAATGGCCTCCACTCTCCAGTTAAAAGACACAGACTGGCTGAATGCATTAAGGAACAAAGCCCATCTATTTGCTGCTTACAAGAAACACATCTTTCCAACAAAGATACATGCAGACTGAAAGGGAAAGGTTGGAAAAAGATATTCCATGCCAACAGAAACCAAAAAAGAGCTGACGTAGTCATCTTAATACCAGACAAAATAAACTTTAACACAAAAACTGTTACGAGAGACAAAGAGGGGCACTGTATAATGATTAAGGGATCAATTCAAAAGGAAGATGTAACTATTATAAATGTTTATGCACCTAATTACAAGGCATCAGTTTATTTAAAAGATTGTTAAAGGAGTTAAAAGGAGACTTAGACCCCAATACAATAGTACTGGGGGACTTCAATACCCCACTCTCAGAAATAGATCAACTGGACAGAAGATCAACAAGGAGACAGCAGATTTAAATGACACTATAGCCCAAATGGATCTAATAGATATCTACAGAATTTTTCACCCTACACTTAAAGAATTTACATTCTTCTCAGCAGTACACAGAACCTGCTCTAGGATTGACCACATACTAGGCCATAAAGCAAGTCTCAGCAAATTCAAAAGAATTAGAATCATACCATGCAGCTTCTCAGACCACAGCGGAATGAAGAAGGAAATGAGCAACTCAGGAATCCCTAGAACATATGCAAACACATGGAGATTGAACAACATGTTCCTGAATGAACAATGGGTCATAGAAGAAATTAAAAGAGTAATCAAAAATTTTCTGGAAGTAAATGAGGATAACAGCACAACATACCAAAACTTATGGGACGCAGCAAAAGCAATGTTGAGAGGAAAGTTCATAGGAATAGGTGCCTACATCAAGAAAGTGGAAAGGCACCAGATAAATGAGCTTTCAATGCACCTCAAAAATCTAGAAAAACTGCAACAAACCAGACCCAAAACTAGTGGGAGAAGAGATATAATTAAAATCGGAGGAGAAATAAACAAGATTGAATCAAAAAAAACATTACAAAAAATCAGCCAAACAAAGAGCATTTTTTGAAAAAAAATAAACAAAATTTACACACCATTGGCCCAACTAACTAAAAAAAAAAAAAAAAAGAGAGAGAGAGAGAAAAGACCAAAATTAATGAAATCAGAGATGACAAAGGAAATGTAACAACAGACACCACAGAAATAAAAAGAATCATCAGAAATTACTACAAGGACTTGTATGCCAGCAAACAGGGAAATCTATCAGAAATGGATAGATTCCTGGACACATGCAACCTACCTAAATTGAACCAGGAAGACATAGAAAACCTAAACAGACCCATAACTGAGACAGAAATTGAAACAGTAATAAAGTCCCACCCAATAAAGGAAAGCCCAGGGCCGGATGGATTCACTGCTGAATTCTACCAGATATTTAAAGAACTAACTCCAATTCTTCTCAAAGTATTCAGCTGCAGGGCTTCTCATGTTAGTGGCTTGGTTAGGGAAACTGGAAGGTGATGAAAAATTATTTCCAGACCCTGGACAAAGTCAGTGGTACTCTCTCTGCTTTAGAGGAAAGCTTGGTTTTATTCAGAAGAGATAGCCTGAACTGTTGGAAGAGCTATGACAGAAGTAAGAGCTTTGCCTGACTCTGGCACTGTAGGAATTTAAACATCATAGTTGTGTTGGGAGCCAGGGATGACGATTTCATTCCTGGCCAATTAAGATGAGTGAGAATTGGGGAACACTGAGCACGGGGCCTCTCCAGTCCATCAGAGTGAACAGGGCAGCAGGGTCAAGTGCACTGTGTGCTGTTTCTGCCTCAGCGAGTCCCTTCTGCACTGCTTCCTAAGATTTTGTCCTTTGTTTGGAGACTCTGGAGATCAGGGAATAGAGGGAGAAGACGTGGTAAATCAAGGCCACACTGGAGGGCAGTCCATGTGTTTAATCACATGTCAATATTTATGGGGTAGACTTTGTACCTGGTTCTACAGTGAAGACAGTGAAGTACCTGAGATGCTGAGGTGGCAGACAGAGAAAATGCACAATCTGGATTCACAGTTCTGTGAAAAGTTCCCTGTTGGGAGTGGCACCGTGGCACAGTGGCAGCACAGAGGAGGGACCACAGCGAATCTCAGGAAGTCAGGAATAGGAGAACTCAGGAAGAGCAGAGACTGGTAAATAATTACAAGGGATGAAGAATTCTGTGTCCTGTGCACCCAGGCCCCAGCCAAGCCCAGCTCGTGCAATTATAAGGAGCTTACTCTAGCTACAAGTCTGAAGAATTTCTAATATGATGTTTACCCCAAAGAAAATTTTCATTCTAATTCCCCATCTTTACAATTGTGGGGTTGGATAGAGAGGTCATTCACTTCAGTATACCAGGGACTTCATATGTCAAATACATTCTGGAAGAGTCACTTAAATACTCACTGAATGGCTCCAGTGAAAACCAAACTAGCATATGTGTCTCATGCTGTTTATTTCAATGTTCAAATGAATGGACTTTCATGTTGAGTTGAATTATGCTGTGTCTAGTTGCATGAATGGGTTTCATCCTATCATTGGGACTTTTTCATTCTTGTGTTATTATGTCAAGTTTGATTTTAGTAATTGCTTTTTGTGTGTTCCAATGAGCAAGAAAATCACACAAAATGAAGAAACACAGAAGAATATAGGATTAAAATGAATTATCCTGTCTTTTTTCAACCATTTCTGTGTCTTCCTTTTATACCCATGGATACGAGTTCATGTTTTGTTTTTTCGTATATAGACAATAATATAATCACATAATCATATAAATATATAGATTTTGCATATCCTTTTTTACCAAAGAAAATTTTTGGAGGCTTTCTTATATTAGACTCAATAAATATTTCACTTCCATTTTTTTGTTGTTATTTTTAAATTTTTAAAAAGTTAATCATTTATTTATTTGAAAGCAAAGAGAGATAGAGAGAAAGGAATATTATTCAATTTCAATTCCCAATTGCCTGCATAACTGGCAGCCAAGGGCCTGGCAGTCAATCTAGTACTCCGTTGGACGATGAGGACCCCATAAGTTATGCCATCTAAGTGTTGGAATTACAATGATCCTGCAACCAATAGACTATTACATACATAGCACTTCAACTTGGGTATACAGTTCTATGAGAGAAATTGCAAAATGTGCAACTGGTTTATGAAAAGACACCTACATTTTAACTTTTGGTAAATAATTATAAGAGTTGATACTCACACTAGCAAATCAGAGAGACTCTCAATTTCCCAAATCCCTTGCTTGCTCAGTGTGCTGTCAAAGCTAATTTTTTGCCCTTTCTAGAAGTGAAAAAGAGATCACACAGTTTTCCTTTGCACATCTTTTATTATCAGTAAAGTTAAACATTTTCGCTCTTTATTATGGCTATTTAGAAAATGTGGATGCAATTCTACTCTCATTGATATACTAGGGTTCATCACAACTTAAATCAAATGCCTGTATCAGAAGTACAAATTGAACATCTTTTCATAATCTTCCCATGTCTTACAAATTCATTCAAATCACTTTTTATGAAAAATTTCATTATTTTCCAATTTGTATGCCAATTCATCATAATTATTCTATAAAAATTAAGTTTATCTTTTTAGGAAGTTAGGCCCTGGTAGACTGTAATAATTGTATTTTATTTTAAAAAATTTTTACTGAAATTACTATGACACACATACTTTTCACAATGAAGAACATTGCAATATTACTAAAACAAAAACAAAGCCCATTTTATATTTTCCTGCCCAAGAAATTTTAGCCTATGCAGTTGTTAAAGTCTGGTTTATAATCCTTGAAACAAAAAATTCTGAAAGCAAAGTTAGTACTGTAGCAAGCAATTTACCTATGACATCAAGGAATGGTCTAATCCATTTTGGTGCGTTATTTACTGTTTCTTCAATGCCTTCTATTAGCCAACTTATCTCTATACTTAACTTAAAAGCATTCCCTTTAAATCCTGTAGGCATGCCTTCTTGAACCTATAAAATGGAAAGTCCACTTTTCAAAACCCTCATCATTAAGAATAAAAGTTTGGTATTTAACAATGTCAGCAGTTAAGCACATAGTTCTATTTTTCTACCATGTTAGAGTGTTTTTTTGTGGAATTTGTCTTCCAACATAGCCAGAAGTTTTGACTTGAATAGGAGAAAATCCATGGTTTAACTTTTGTGAGTTTTCCTTAGCATCATTTCCCCAGGGGAAAGCGGGGAGTTTTGTGTAGGCACAAAGAAAGCTCATTGGGAAAGAATGTGGATTAAATTCTAATTGGCTCTCATTTCCATGAGGTGGCACAGCTGAGCTCATCTAGCAACTAGTGAGAAGTGCTGACACCTCACAGGACACTGCTTATCAAACCCCACGCTGGGACAAAGGATGTGTATGTTACTTTAGTCATAAAGGATGATCAGGCAGGTCTGGAAACAATGGACCAGATTCAGAGTCCTCCATTTTCTCTCAGGTCAAATTTGATATTATCAGACCAGATAAACCTATTTCAGTCTCTTTGAGAATTGTTCCAGAAATCTCAAGCACCAGTAGCTAAGGTCCCATTGAATAGGGGCTTGGTAAGACCACCCTATAATAGCAACACCAATTGCAGCCCCAAACCCAGGAGAATGTCATTTGTGCCTCCAAAGTCCAACTCTACAAAAAGGGCTGGAGTCTCCTAGATTTTCGTGTTTCAGGGGGACCCAGGTGTAATTGAGATTGTAGTGGAACACTAATCTTTTTGATTCTCTCTAGGATGATGCCTGCGCTATAATTTGGTCTCACCCTTCCCCAGGATACAGAGTATGCCCATCAGGCACTGCCCAGCCCCCAGACTCACCTTCAGCTTGTGCTCCAGCATCCTCTCCTGCTCTCTGAGGAGGTCCTCCCTTTCCCGCTCCATCTTCTCCTTCAGTTGAGCGATGTTCTCCTGGAAGCTTCTCTCTTGAGCCTCCATCTTTTGCTGCATTTCCTGCTCCCTCTGTCTTAGCACTTCCTTTTCCTTCTCAGCGGCCTCCCTCTTGGCCTCCTCAGCTGTTTCACAAAGCATTAACAAGGGAAGAAAAACTGTTGAGTTCAAGACCAGGCAGCTTTGACAGCAATGCTGTTTCCCCTGAAACAGCAAGAGCGTGTTTCAGAATGTGCCAGAAAGGCACTGACAGGCTTGGTGTGCAGCCCAACAGCCCTTGTTATGTTCAAGTCTAGCGGAGTACATGCTCCACAGTCAGAGGAAGCCTCTTGCTTCAGAAAAGCCACCCTGTCCAATCTATAAGAGGGCATCATAGGAATCTCCCCGCCCCGCCCCACCGTCCTGTGAGCTGAGCCCGGCCCCGTACCTGCTAAGGCCTTCTGTGCATCAGAGAGAGCTTTGTCTGCCTGCAGGATGGAGTTCTCTGCTGCTGCCTGAGACTGCAAGAAGCTCTGGAGCACCTCAGTTGCCTGGAGACCAGCAAGCAGGAAAAGTACTTTAGGGAGAAATGATCTAGTCTTTTGATGTGGAAATTATTGTTTGATAAAAGTACAAATCTGACTGTGTATTTTCTCCATCATTCTTAGGCCATGGCAGAAACTCCAAGCTCTTTGCTGAGGCATAGGCACCCTGTGGAGCAGCCTCCTTCCTAGCTGTGCAGTCTCCTCTCCCAGGGATGCTGTCCACCACCACCCACCATCCCCCAGCATATCTTGTTTGCTTGCGAGATTGGCATGTTGTCTTTCTTATGCTCGCATGTTGTTCTACCATCTAGCAAGGATAACTTAAGTGGATACGTCAACATGTAGCTGTCACCTCCCCCATCAAGAAGCTTTCCTATGCTGCCTTCTGAGGTTTTCTCCCTAGTTTCTTTGGGATTATGCTTGGCAAATCACAATTGTGCATGTTTAAAGGATAAAACATGATGCGTCGATGTATATGTGAGTGTACTCTACAGTTCTTAATATTAAGATAATTAACAGACTAGCCCCCAATTAAAGGCTGCTGTGGTGGATTCCAAGATGGTGTACTAGGGAATGACATACTGCGCAAAACAGGGATAAACAGCAAAAATGAACAGAAAAACAAACCAAAAAACTGCAGGAAGTGCACCCTCAGCGGAGAATTGTAGAGAAAACCACACTGGAAATCCTACACAAGGAATGCCGTGAACCTGTGGAGGGTGCGGATGTGCAGCAGGAACACTGACACAACACACGCCTGCAGCAGCTGAGAGCTTGACTGTGTGGCAGCTTGGAGACGGAGGTGAGAGAAGGCTGCAGCAGCCCATGGTGATATAGTCAGAGAGAGAGCATGGCATGCGTCCAATAGTGCCCTGGGGGCTAGCAGTTGCCCGCAAATGCAGTGGAAGTAGAGGAGGTGGCATGTTTGTCTCACCCCAACCTCACCAAAGCAGCGCCTGCTGCCCAGCTGAGAAAGTACAGGCACCATTTTGGGTTTGGGCAGCAGCAGCTGCAGAAGCCTTTGTGCACATGCACAGCAATTGGCTGAGACAGGATGCCATTTTCTCGGCACTACCATTGGCAGTAGCGGGGAGAGAGCAGCATTCAGCCAGTGGTGGTTGTGTATGCATATGATCCAGAGGTTCTATCAGAAAGAAAAATCTGAAGGTCCCACTGACTTTGAGACTGGCTGGGAAGAATCGCAGGGGGCTGGTCACTCGTGTAGGACTGTGAGATACTCTCAGCTCCCAGGATCAAGACGTCTATGCAGAGCTGGCTTGGGTAACATCTGCCTCTCTGTTGACTGGATAGGTTGGCAGGCAGAGTATAATCTCTGCATTCAGTGACTGTGGAAGCCTTGTATGCTGAGACCTTGGGGATTTAGAGATTACATGAGAAGGTGTGGGGTATATCTGGGTCTCTGGACAATCACTGGGTGTGGCTCTACACACTTGGAGCTGCTTGGTTGCCTCGGGTGGGGCATTTCATAGGGGACTGTGTTCACAGTGAGGACTGTGTAGATAATTTACGTGGTTCAAGTGGTGGCATGGATGAGCGTTGAACACACTTGGGGAGAGGAGGTGAGCGGGTGATCACAGAAACAGATGTGACCATTCCCCAAACCCCAGTCTGCTAACAATAGGAAATCTACCATATCCAACTTGGATGTTACCCTGGATACTCACCCCACCCTGGAGCACTAACCAAAGGTATGTGGCTACACATACCACACATCTCCTGGTATTCACTGAAAGTGCAGATATTCAAGAAACAAGAATAAGGAAGTCATCATGACCATGCCCCCCACAAAGGAACACAAAACATTTCAATATTAGAATGTGAAGATGAAGAGAGTGATGAAATGCTGAAAATGGAATTCAAAAAGTTAATCATAGGATTATTCCAAAGCAATCAGAAGCAAATCAACGAACTAAAGAAAACTATGCATGGCATGAATCAAAAATTTTCCTATAAAATTGAGATTTTAAAGAGAAATCCAAAGGAAATATTTGAAATAAAGAATTCAATACGTCAAATTAAAAATTCAGTGGGTAGCCTTAACAGCAGACTAGGTGAGGAAGAAGAAAAATATCTGAGCTGCAAGAGAGGCAGATGTTACCTGAGCCAGCTCTGCCTAGATAGAAATCTTTCAGACTTAAAAATAAGAAAGAAGAAGGAATTAGAAAACTCAAAAATAGTGTTGGAGATTTATGGGATACTATCAGATGACCTAACATATGGGTCTTAGGAGTTCCTGAAGGTGTAGAAAGAAAGAATGGACTAGAAGGCCTATTTAGTTAATACTTACAGAAAACTTACAAATTTGGAGAATGAAAGAGACATCCAAGTACATGAAGCATATAGAATACCTAACAGACATGACCATAAAAGATCTTCAACATGACACATTGTAGTCAGGCTTTCCATAGTAAAATATAAAAAAGGATTCTAAAATGTGCATGAGAGAAATGCCAGATTCCTTTCAGAGGATTTCCAATTATACACACAGCTTACTTCTCATCAGAAACGCTACAGGATAGAAGAGAATGACGAGATATATTCCAAGTCTTAAGAGAAAAAAATCAACCCAGAATACCGTACCCTGCAAAGCTCTCATTTATAAATGGAGGTGAAATAAAGACCTTTCATAACAAACAAAAATTGAAAGAATTTGTCACCACTCATATAGCCTGACAAAAGATTCTTAAGGATGTGCTACACACAGAAACACAGAACCATGGTCATAATTATGAAAGAATTTGAAGGCAAAAATCCCCTAGCAAAAGTACAAAAGAAATCCAAAGTAAACAAGAGGAATATATTTGGAAAAGTTGCAGGGCCAAGTTGTTACTTATCAATAGTCACCTTGAATATAAATGGACCGAATGGACATACCTGATATCTACAGACCTTTTCACCCCACAGTTGGAGAATACGCATTCTTCTCATCAGTGCATGGAACTATATCTAGAATAGACCATAGTCTATGCCATAAAGCAAGTCTCAGCCTATTCAAAAAATATTGAAATCAGACCATGCATCTTCTCCAAACACAATAGAGTGAACATGGAAATCAACAACTCAAGACTCCCTAGATCATATGAGAACACATGCATACTAAACAACATGTTCCTGAATGAACAGTGGGTCCTAAAATTTATCAAAAGGGAAATCAAAAAAATTCTGGAAACAAATAAAGACAACAATACATAATTTCAAAACTTATGGAGTACAGCAAAAGAGTGTTAAGAGGGAAGTTTATAGCAATTGTTACCTACATAGAAATTTGAAAAGGTACCAAATAAATGAGCTATCAATGCTGCTCAAGGACCTAGAATAACAACAACAAATTTAACCCCAAATAATTTGTAGGAGGAAAGAAATAAAATTAGAGAGGAAATAAACAATATAAAACTAAAAATCAGTACAAGAGATCAGTGTAATGAAGTTTGGTTTTTGAAAAAATAAAAAAAAAATTGATACACAATTGTTCCAACTAATCAAAAAAAATGACAAAGAAGACTCAAATCAACACAATCAGAAATGAAAAAGGAAATGTAACAACAGATAACAAAGAGATAAAATAAATCATCAGGAATTACTACAAAGAGCTGTATGCCAACAAATAGGGAAACCTGGAAGAAAGAGATAGATTCCTATACACATGCAACCTACCTAAATTGAGCCATGAAGACATAGAAAACCTAAACCGACCAATAACCAAGATGGAAATTGAATTAGTAACAGAGACTCTCCCAACAAAGGAAAGCCCAGGACCGGATGGCTTTCCTGCTGAAATCTACTAGACATTTAAAGAAGAACTAACTCCATTTTTTTCTCAAGCTATTCAAAACAATTGAAAGGAAGGGAATCCTCCCAAATTCCTTCCATGAAGCTTGCATCACCTTAATTCCTAAACCTGAAAAACATACAACAGAGAAAGAAACTATAGACAATATCCCTGATTTATACAGATGCAACAATCCTCATTGTATATTAGCTAATCAAATCTAACAACGTATCAGAAAGATCATTTACTTGGACCTAGTGGGATTTATCCCTGGTTTGTAGGGATGGTTCAACATTTGCAAATCAATAAATATGATACATCTTATTAATAAACTGAAGAACAAAACCATATGGTTATCTCAATAAATGCAGAGAAAGCATTTGATAGAATACAGCATCCTTTCATGATGAAAACCTTAAGCAAATTGGGTATAGAAGAAACATGCCTCAACACAATCAAGGCAATTTATGACAAACCCACAGCCAGCATCCTATTGAATGGGGGAAAGCTGGAAGCATCCCCCTAAGATCCGGAACCAGACAAGGACGCCAACTATCACCATTGATACTTTACATAGTCCTTGAAGTTTTAACCAGAGCCATTAACCAAGAAAAAGAAATCAAAAGGATACAAATTGGCAAGGAGAAGTCGAATTGATTCTATATACTTAGGGGACCAAAAAAGACTCCACTGAAAGACTGTCTGACTCATAAGAGTTTGGTAAAGTAACAGGATATACAATAAACACACAAAAACCAATAGCCTTTGTATACACAGACATTACTATGGCTGACAAAGAGCTTTTAAGATCAGTCCCATTCACAAATAGCTACAAAAAGAATTAAATACCTTCGAATAAATTTAACCAAGGATGTCAAAAATATCTACTATAATAATTACAAAACATTAAAGAAATAACAGAAGCCATTTAAAAATGGAAAAATCTTCCATGTTCACGGATTGAGAGAAAGAACATCACCACAATGTCCATGCTACAGATTTGATGCAATCCAAATCAAAATACCAAGGACAATCTTTGCCGATCTAGAAAAAATGATGCTAAAATTTAATGGAAACACCAGAGACCCCAAATAGCTAAAGCAACCTTATACAACAAAAACAAAGCAAGAAGCAGAACCATACCAGATTTCAAGACATACTGCAGGGTAGTTCCAATCAAAACAGGCTAGTACTGGCACAAAAACAGACATGTAGACCATTGGAACAGAATAAAACTTCAGAAATCAATCCACACATCTGCATTCAACTTACCTTTGATAAACGAGTTAAAATCAATCCCTGGAACAAGGACAGTGTCTCCAGCAAAAGGTGCTGGGAAAACTGGGTTTTCATGTGCAGAAATATGCATTTGGACCCCTACCTTACACAAAAATCCACTCAGAATGGATCAAAGACTTAAATCTAAAACCCAATACTATCAAATTATTAGTAAACATTCATGAAACTCTGCAAGACTTTGGCATAGGCAAAGTCTTCTTAGAAAATATCCCAGAAGCACAGGCAATCAAAGCCAAAATTGACAATGGGATTATGTCAAATTGAGAAGCTTCTGTACTGCAAAAGAAACACTCAGCAAAGTGAAGAGATAACCAACAGAAAGGGAGCAAATATTTGCAAACTACAAAACTGATAAGGAGTTAATATCCAGAATCTATAAAGAGCTCAAGAAATTCAACAGCAACCAGACAAACAATCCAGTTGAGAAATAGGAAAAGGACTTTAACACGCATTTTTCAAGAGAGGAAATTCAAGTGGCCAACAGAAACCTGAAAAATGTTCAGGATCACTAGCCATCAGGGAAACACAAATCAAAACCACAGTGAGGTTTCACCTCACCCCAGTTAGAATGGCTTTCAGAAATCAACAAACAACAAATGCTAGCAAGGATATGGGGGAAAAGGTACCCTAATCCACTGTTGGTGGGAATGTGAACTGGTGAAGCCGCTATGGAAGACAGTATGGTTATACCTTAAAATCTGAATATAGACCTTCCGTAAGATCCAGCCATCCCACTCCTGGTAATTTGACCAAATCAAAAGAAATCAGGGGCCTGCGCCGCAGCTCACTAGGCTAATCCTCCGCCTTGCAGCGGCGGCACACCGGGTTCTAGTCCCAGTCAGGGCACCGGATTCTGTCCCGGTTGCCCCTCTTCCAGGCCAGCTCTCTGCTGTGGCCAGGGAGTGCAGTGGAGGATGGCCCAAAGTCCTTGGGCCCTGCACCCCAAGGGAGACCAGGGGAAGCACCTGGCTCCTGCCTTCGGATCAGTGCGGTGCACTGGCCGCAGCGCACCAGCCGCGGCGTCCATTGGAGGGTGAACCAACGGCAAAGGAAGACCTTTCTCTCTGTGTGTCTCTCTCTCTCTCACTGTCCACTCTGCCTGTCAAAAAAAAAAAAATCAGCCTATGAAAGAGTTAGTTATCTGTACCTCCATGTTCATTGTAGCACAATTCACAATAGCTAAGATTGGCCCCTTATTTTCCATCATATGTAATAATTAACTACATGTTAAAGATCGAAACTTCAACCAAAGACTGGAAAGCATAATACTCCTAAAAGAAAAAATAAGAAAAAAGATGTTACAAAGTAGCCTTGACAGTGATTTTTTTTTTTGCTTTGATACCAAAAGCACAAGCAATAAAAACAAAAAGAATCAAGGGAACTATGTCAAACTAGGAAGTTCCTGTGCATTTAAAGAAACAATCAACAAAATGAAAAGGACATATACAGAATGAGAGTCAATATTGGCAAGCTATATACCTCATAGGAGGCTAATATCCAAAATATGTAATTAAGTCATAAATCAATGGAATAGCAAGACACCAAAGACCTGACTTAAAAATGGGCAAAATAGGCCCGCGCTGCGGCTCACTAAGCTAATCCTCCGCCTTGCGGCGCCGGCACACTGGGTTCTAGTCCCGGTCGGGGCGCCGGATTCTGTCCCGGTTGCCCCTCTTCCAGGCCAGCTCTCTGCTGTGGCCAGGGAGTGCAGTGGAGGATGGCCCAAGTGCTTGGGCCCCGCACCCCATGGGAGACCAGGAGAAGCACCTGGCTCCTGCCTTCGGATCAGCACAGTGCGCCAGCCGCACTGGCCATTGGAGGGTGAACCAACAGCAAAGGAAGACCTTTCTCTCTGTCTCTCTCTCTCTCTCTCACTGTCCACTCTGCCTGTCAAAAAAAAAATGGGCAAAATAGGGGCTGGCACTGTAGCATAGTGGACTAAGCCTCCACCTTTGGTTCAGGCATTCCAAATAGGTGCAGGTTCATATCCCAGCTGCTTCTCTTCTAAATCAGTTCTCAGCAAATGGCCTGGGAAAGCAGTGGAAGATGGCCTACGTGATTGGGTCCCTGCACTTACATGGAGACGGGGAAGAATCTCCTGGTTTCTGGCTCCTGGCTTCAGACAGGCACAGCTCTGGCCATTGAGGCCATTTGGGGGAGTGAACAGTAGATGGAAGACCTTTCTCAGTGTCTCCCTCTGTCTGTAATTCTACCTCGCAATTATATATATATATATATATATATATATATAATCTTTTAAAAAGGGCAAATTCCTATTATAGACATTTCTCAAAAGTAGACATCCAGAAGAATAACCAGCATATAAAAACACGTTCAATGCTTCTAATCATCTGGGAAATACATCAAACCATAATGAGATATAAGTTCACACTGTTAGAATGGCTATTATTTGGGATCACAGTTATGGTGCAGTGGGTAAATCTGCCACTTGCAAATCTGGCTTCCCATATCACAACATGTTCAAGTCCCAGTTGGTCTGATTCCATTCTAACTCCATGCTAATGTAGTTGGGCAAAAAGCAGAAGATGGCCCAAATACTTGGGCCCCTGCCATCCACATGAGAGATCCAGATGGAATTCCAGGCTCTTGGCTTTGGCAAGGACCACCGTGGCAGATGTGGGCATTTATGGAGTTAACCAGCAGATGGAAATCTCTTTCTCTCCACCTCTCCATTATCTCTGTTACCCTATCTTTCAAATAAATAAAAATAAATCTATGAATTTTTAAAAAGAAGAGCTATGACTTATGATTAAGTTAACAAATTTGGAGAAAAGGGAACATTTACTCAACTGTTGGGAGGGTGTAAATTGGTTCAATCATTATAGAAACAAAATGAAGCTCCCAAAAAAGAAAAAGAATTTCTGGTGGTCAGGTAGATGGAACAGCCTTGTCAATCCTGCTACTTACTGAATGGGTTATTTAAAGATAAATTATTGGCCGGCGCCGCAGCTCACTAGGCTAATCCTCCGCCTTGCGGCGCCGGCACACTGGGTTCTAGTCCCGGTCAGGGCACCGGATTCTGTCCCGGTTGCCCCTCTTCCACGTCAGCTCTCTGCTGTGTCCAGGGAGTGCAGTGGAGGATGGCCCAAGTGCTTGGGCCCTGCACCCCATGGGAGACCAGGATAAGTACCTGGCTCCTACCATCGGATCAGCGCGGTGCGCCGGCCGCGGTGCGTTGGCCGCAGTGCGCTGGCCGCGCCGGCCATTGGAGGGTGAACCAACTGCAAAAAGGAAGAACTTTCTCTCTGTCTCTCTCTCTCTCACTGTCCACTCTGCCTGTCAAAAAATAAAAAAAAAAAAAATAAAATAAAATAATTAAAATAAAAATAAAGGTAAATTATTAGCTTTTCTATACATCATGTTTTCTACCTGCACAATGGAGCTGATGTTAATACTTGATTTATAGTAATCTGAGAATTAAAATGATAATCTAAAAAATTAACATAAGACTATATTTGGTATAGGGAGTGAATGTCATGATGGTCATCACCATCATCATTATTACTATCAGTGCACACCACTATGGTAACTATATCTGCACCCTGTCTAAACAGTATGAATTTGTCCACCCAAGATAAGATCATAATCATCTGGAGAATAGTTTTCTTCACTAAGCATAAAGTCTATTCTTTGTTTGATTTTTAAAAAATGAAAAGAAAGAGCAGTAAATAAATGGTTATCACACTTGAATCCCTGATTCCAGATCCTCTCTGGGAAGAAATCTTCCACTTTACCTAGGAGTATATAACTATATATGGATTTTAAAACACTTAAAATGTCAAAAATTGCTGTGTTAGTTTGCTTTCCATGATTCTAACAAAATCCTTGAAGCAGGTTCTTTTACAGAGGCAGATTTTCCTCCCTGTCTACAGGTTCAAGGGCACAGCACCTGCCTAAGCATGGCTCTGACCAACATGGCTCTGACTCTCACAGAGGATAGCATCACACTGGTATGGGTAGAATGAAGATATTAGGATGCAACAGAGTCATTCAGGGATCAGCCCTGGTTTCTATAACAAATCGATCTCAGAATTAACTCAAGGTCCCTTGGGAACTATGACCTTATATCCTCTGAAGGCAGCCCCTCATGAACTAAGATCCTCCCACTTGGCTCCATCTCCCAAAGTTCTCATCACCTCTCACATGGCCACAGAGAGGGTGAGGACGATGTCTCAGAAACATCAACCCTGGAGGACTAATATCCAGACCATAGCAAATGTTTCCCTCACCGTGATGCTGTGCTCCTCATTTTCAAAACAAGCACCAAAGATCCCACAACTCTACTCTGTTGACCAACTCTCCCCCCTGTTCCTCACCTTCACTCCCTTCCTGGGCACCAGCTCATACTCCTCTTCAATCCTTTTTCTTGCTTCTAAGTAGAGACGGTGGCCTCCAGGCGCAGAGAAAACTCCTCTTGAAATACTTTCCATCAGGGACGCTGAGAGCCGTGTAAGCTCAGCCTGGCAGTATTTGACAGAGGCCTCTTCATTCTGCAGCAGGAACTCTTCCTTTTTCTGCTCTGTGGTTTCCTGCCAGGGAAACGTAGGTTCACACATTAGAAAGGAATGAGTAGCAGGGAAGGTCCACCTGTGATACACGTGGCAGGAGGATTTGGACGGCCTCAGAGTGGACCAGAACAAAGAATGGACCTGCAGTCAGGAGACTTACTTCACTGTTACTTCTGGTCATTGCCTGTTTCACCTATGCAAAGCCACGTATTTCTCATGGGGGAGAGGCCCAGGCTCAATATCTGTAAATGAGGGTCAGAAGCCCTGAGCTCTGTGGTCCTTTAACATATAATATGATTAACAGTGGCCTGGCCTCAAGACTAAGAATAGAAAGGTGAATTTTGACTGCAATTAAAATTTCCTCAGAGCATATGGATTGCTAGGGACAGAAATATGAATTTATAGGAATATATGCCATTAATATCTTACTAATTGTCTAGATGTATTTTGAACCAACTTTTGAACCCTTATGAATGCTTTCATGATGTCTTGAATTTGTGAATATGTAAGAAAAGAATTTTTTGTTTGTATTTGGAAGTCACAATCCAACTGGGTTTCCTCAGTACAAATTGAGACTCTTGCTTTTCCACTTCAGGCCTAGACACATAGAAAGCTAAATTTTTAATGATTATGACTGTGGTCAATAGAATTAAGAGTTTCCATAAGACTTCTCTACTCTTGATGTCCATATCCCCCATATTTCCTGGGTCTGAGAATATGATGGCTGTTACTCTTATGATTCCATCATGATAAATAGCACAAGTTGAGTTTACAATGGAAAGAAGCCTATCTGGCATTATCCAATCTCATGAATCTTAGTGGTAGATTTTTCTAGTTGGTGTCAGAAAGGAAACCAGAAAATTAGAAACAAGAGAATTATTTGATAAAATATAACTAGTTTAGAGATGGAGGGGTTCCCTGGAGACTGCATTTGAAGACCAAGCCCATCTGGCACCTTCTTTCCATCTGTCTACACTGAGCAGAGGACACAGACACCCTGACATGCATATCTGCAAACAGATAATTATTATAATAATGTGTGCTGTTTTAAGCTGTAAAACTCATGATAATTCATTTTGCTTTACCAAATAATTAAGTGTCTGTCTTTTAAAAAAAGGGTGACCTGTAGTCCATAGAGCTCTTTCATTCTCTAGAATCAGGATGCCTTCTACTATGGTAGGGGGATGATCACAGGGTGAAAAGACAGACTTTAGGTGTCATCTAGAAAGGCTGTCGCTGGCAAGGATAGATGTTCAGATGTTTACCAAAAGGTTCTTCTGGAATTCCCCGTTGTCATCCTTGAAGGAGTGCTCCATGAAGATTTTAATAGCTTCCCTCTCACAGGCTGCGTGCACGTCCAGCAGCTCCTGGAGCGTGTCTATGGGGAGCACCAGTCGCTGGGCCATCTGCCTGCTGTAGTGCTCGGCTGCTTTCTGCACGGCTGCAGCATTCTCACGCTGGGCCAGAGTCGTCACTGCGTTCTCCAAGCAAGGGACGGCTCCGCTGTTGATGGTGTCTATGTACATCTCCACCAGACTGCCCAGCCCTGATTAACGCATAATTTTAGGGAATAAACAGATAGTTCACATTCATTGTTTTCAATCAGCATCCCAAACATCAAATCCATTCTACTTATCTTGAAGTGTTCTTTTCCTGTTCCTCCTCCTTCCCTTACCGCTCCCTTTTCTTCTCTCTTCCCCCTCTGGCTTTTCCTTCTATATTTCCTTTCCCATCTTGCTCTGGGAATACTTCTCTGTATTACAACATGGTTCTTGTTTCTGTTCACCCTTTCTGTTATGATTTTCAGATTCACCAATTTGTGACATTAAAATACTGATTATAAGAAATATTATAGGGTTTTCTAGGAAAGTACTTCTCCATTTAAATAAGGTACAAGTTTATCAATCTAGGAAAATCACATAATTTTTGTATTCTAATTCCAAATAAAATGCTATCCCACTTATTAAAAATACCCTCTGGGTTTTGACGCCAGGCACACAGCATGTGGATGTATGTGTGACTTGATATTAGCATGGAATCTGTGTAACTGACTCAGTCATATGTCCATGAAGCCAGCCCTGTGTGTAGGTTCAAGTTTATTTCTTTTTCTCAAACTCTTGATGAGCTTGCATTGGATTACTATCTCTTATTTATGTTATGACTGGTTTAAAATCCTACAACATTTTGTGCTTTCTCACTGAGAAACTCATCTTACAGGACTTCTCACATGCAGATTTCTTTCTGTAATAGCATTTTTTTTACAGGCAGAGTGGACAGTGAGAGAGAGAGAGAGAGAGAGAGAGAAAGGTCTTCCTTTTGCCGTTGGGTCACCCTCCAATGGCCGGCGCAGCTGGCGCACTGCGCTGATCCGAAGGCAGGAGCCAGGTGCTTATCCTGGTCTCCTGTGGGGTGCAGGGCCCAAGTACTTGGGCCATCCTCCACTGTACTCCCAGGCCACAGCAGAGAGCTGACCTGGAAGAGGGGCAACCGGGACAGAATCCGGCGCCCCGACCGGGACTAGAACCCGGTGTGCCAGCGCCGCTAGGCAGAGGATTAGCCTGTTGAGCCGGGGCACCGGCCATGTGACAGCATTTTGTGATTGCATCATTTGTAGGTTCATATTAAGAGATAACTGAGGCCTCAGTAATTCCGCATGGAGGGAAAATTTAACTAAGAAACATCATTTGCAGGTGTGGTAGGAGCATCTCCTTCTCTGTATTCCTATACAGAAGCAAACGAAACGATTGACAAGCCCACAGAAGAATCACAGCTTCATCACACACACTGATCTAAAGAAAGTCATATTTTGACACAGAAGAAACTCACGGTTTCCAGTGACAATGATTCCCTGTCTCAGGGTCTTTGTCTTCCCATGTGTGAAGATGTAAGAGCAGAATTTTTCTGACTGCTTCTTGAAGTTCAATTCCAGTTGGTCTTCTGGCACTTCTTCCATACGGGCTAAGAGATTTTTATCTTTTGTGGGCCGGTCAAAGACAAAGCACTTCCGTTTTGGAAAGAAATACCTGATACACATTACAGGCTTGTTGGCATTTTGGATTCTGGCATTTGTTTCTGTGGAATTATAAAACAGAGCATTCATTGAAGAGACAGCAAACAAAGGGCTGAGGACTTCCAGGAATCTCTGTGATATGGCAGCTCCAGTGTCTGTAAATTTGCCTTCCAAATGTGCAAAGTAGTCATTCTAATATGCGCAAAGAATGGGGAATCCTTTTCTGCATGGAGATGAGCCTCAAGTAATTACTTTAAAGTGGAATGAAAGGTATTCATTTCAAGAGAAGAAATTCATCATGGATCCTGTTCACTTGTTGTGGTGGGTAGAGTGACTATACTCACACGATTCTGAAGAATCAAATTTTTTTGAAGTATATCTCTAATATTACAGTCCCATTAAGAAATGAACAATAACTTTAAAGTAATGCTGGGAAATAAGAATGTGATATTTTAAAAGCAGCATGAGAACAGAAAACATTCAAGTCAGTAGTGAAAAATGCTTAAAAAACATAACCAAAAAACATATGCACTATTCACTATGTTTATACACTGTATTAGAAGTAAGCTTCATGGCCTTGGCAGTTCATGACAAGAGCCTTGGGTGATTACTGACTGTCAATTATTAAATCAACAGCAGGAGTCACTGTGCACCTACCCCCCATGTAGGACCTCTGCCCTTAGTGTGTTATAATATGAGAATTAATGGTGAAACTACTACTCAAACAGTGCTCTATACTTTGTGTGTCTTTGTGGGTGTGGATTGTTGAAATCTTTACTTAGTATATACAAAGTTGATCTTCTGTATGTAAAGATAATTGAAAATGAATCATGATGAAGAATGGGATGGCTGAGGGAGTGGGAGATGGGATGGTTGTGAGTAGGAAAGAGATTATGGGGGGAAAAGCTGCTATAATTCAAAAGTTGTACTTTGGAAATTTATATTTATTAAATAAAAGTTGAAAAGAAAAAAAAAGAAGTAAGCTTCAAAATAAAGCTAATCTCACTAAAACTTGGAGATCTCACTTACTCTCAAAGTCAGCTTATACTAGAATACAGTAACTGAAGAGGGATACTGAGGCATATATTTTGTTGAATTAATGCCTATTGATAGAACTAATAAAAGAAGGAAATAAAATGTATAGTTCTTCTAAGTGCTTTTACTTCTCTATTCTTCTAAATATTACCTATGTAATAAGTATTTAATAATAAACTGATCACACATTGCCTAAAGATAAAGAAGTTGGTGTTATAAAAAAAGACAAAATGACTGTATTATTGCAGGCACATAGCACTATTTTCCCCATTGTAGTATTGAGGATATAACTATGCTTCTATGAAGGATACAGCAATCAAAGCAAGTAAAACATACCTAGTGAAAATTATTTTCAACGAACAGATCATGTGACTTCCTAGTGATTCTCTGTTTACTAACTTCCTAGTGTATCTATTTTTCTAAGAATAGAGTAAAAGGAATGCTTAAGCTTATTAAGTATCATAAATATGAGTCTTAGAAGTAATAGCAGTTATTGCAGTTCTCTCTTTTTTTAAATTTTACTGATTGGACTAAAATGGTTGATGCAATATTGAACTCCAAATTTCCCCACTGAATTTAAATCTCAAACTCTAAAAATTTTCAATAATAATTGTTAAAATCATACCCATCCATCAATCACCAGTCATCATTACCTTGGGCTTCAATCTTGTCTCAGAAAAAAAAAAATATTTCAATTGCCATTGGAAGTCCTGCTTGACCCCACCTTGTAACTAAATCAGCCATCCCCAGAGCACACTCTGATACCTGGAATCAGCTTCAAGGCATTCTCAAGGTACTCATCTTCTGTGATGGGCTGTCCTTTCAAGTTCAGTTCCAGGGTGAAATCCCGCACAGCCCACACAAAGTCCGGAAAGAAACTCACAAACTCTGCCGAGTCCTCTACCTCATCAGATGGGGGAGAAGATCTTGCCCTGATTAACTCTGTGAGTTCAGTAACAAAGCTGAAATCTCAGTTAAGGAAAAAAAAAAAAAAAAAAAAACAACTCTACACCACAAACTCTACACCACAAACTCTACATCTCACTTAGAAACAAGTTGGACAAACACTCTCCTTTTCCCTGTGTCCACTCTTAATGACCCAGGAAAATTTAGTTACATAAAGAAGAAATAGTCTCAACTGCCATTCTCCTAAACTCAGTGAAATATGGAAGTTCCATTTCTGGAAGGATATTGCAGCTGCTCCAGGGCCTGGTGGTTGATGGTGCCCAGGCTGTTGTAGACAAAGGTGCTGCTCAGAAGCACGGCCAGGGCAAAGATCCAGGAGTCATTCTTAGGGTCTCGCTGGAAAACCCATTGAAACAAGGGACTTATACATCTACTCTTCATTTACTCATCTATCATACATTTGGTTGCTTGTTCACACTGTGGCTATATTATAACTGAATATTAGGGTAAATAACAAATTTCAAATATAATTCAAAAATGAAATGCAGTCTTGATATACTATGACCACACTCAGTTTGTATAGATATTCAAATAAATGATAGACATTGTTACTATCCATGAAGTACTTAATAAAGTGCTTAAACATAGGTGTCCACTAGTAACTGTAGAAGTATCCCACTGTAAACATTTTTTTCTCAATAATGACTATGATAAGGACACAGATCCTATGAAATTAAGTTCAACTCTTCACAAGGATGGACCCTGCATTTGTTTTGTGCTTATAAAGTTCCATATGACAATTTCTAACCACAAAAGGATGATGTTAAAGAGCAAATACATGGGAGGCAGCAAGATGGCGGAATAGGAAGGGAGCACACTGATAGTCCGGGGAGAGACAGTTTAATAAAAGTGGAGATACTGCAGGTTCAAGGAAGAGTAGGGGAAGAAACAGCAGAAGAAACTCTTCCGGAACAAGTGATTCACAGTGGACCTGCATGGAGAGCGTGGGAGCCCACAGTTCGGGACACCAGCGGCAGACTCAACACACCAGCACTGGAACGCGAGGTGAGCCAAACCTCAATAGCCCGAGACACCGGCAGCCAAGCTGAAAGAGGAGACTAGAGGGAACGACCCCGAGGGGAAAAGTTCACCAGGCTAACTAGAAGAGAGACAGAAAAAAAAAGTGACTGATACGGACACGGGTTTCTCTCTCTCCGCTCACCTCTCAAAGGCGAGCAAGACAAAGAGCAGGTGCCATCTTGGACATATGTCATAAGCAGAGCGACCTCAGGTCTGCACCGGCCCTGAGCCTAGCAGAAAAACCTGACTCTGGGCGGGGTGAATTAACAGGAGATTAGGACCTAGTGAATTTGTGGTGCTACTGAACTGAGACTGTGAAAAAAGAGACGGTGGGGGAGAGAACTCACGGAATTCACGTGAGTACTCTCCAGAGACGCTACAATTCCATAACTTTGGCAACCCAGTGGGAGACTGAAGGAGAATTTGAGCCCACTCTGAGGGCCGAACAGATTCCCTGTGTGGTCCTTGGGAAAGAGCTTCTGATCTCTGGCTCCTGCGGGTATATCATTTGCCTGCTAACTACCTCCAACTTCGTTCAGCTGTGCAGAATTACTTCCCTTTTGAATCAAAAAAAGAAAGAAAGAGAGAGAGAGATCTACCACGCCTAACCTGGGAGTGTCACCTTTAGCACACCAAACAGAGCTCTCAGGCCACACCCATCTCAAGCCTCTAAGGCTCCATCAAAAACAGACAGTCCACTTAATCTAGAGTCATAGTATAACAAGAAAAAGCACCACAGTGAAGAAACCAAATATCTCCAATATGCCAAATAACAAACGCAAAAACCGAGGTAATAAAAACAAGGAAGTCACTATGACGCCCCCAAATGAAAAAGATACCCCAATTCAAGATTATGAAGATGATGACATAGAAGAAATGCAAGAAGCAGATCTCAAAACATTGATAAGAACATTAAGAAGTTCTCAAAAACAAATTCTTGAACTACAGAAATCCTTAATGGACAAGATAGAAAATCTCTCTCGTGAAAATGAAATATTAAGGAGGAATCAAAATGAAATGAAACAACTAGTACAACAGGAAACTGTGATAGTGACAAGAAATCATAATGAAGTGAAGAATTCAATAGATCAAATGAAAAACACATTAGAGAGCCTTACAAACAGAATGGGTGAAGCAGAAGAGAGAATATCGGACTTAGAAGACAGAGAACAGGAAAGGATACAGTCAGACCAAAGAAAAGAAGAGGAAATTAGAAATCTAAAACATATTGTCGGGAATCTTCAGGATACTATTAAAAAACCCAACATTCAGGTTCTAGGAGTTCCTGAAGGCATGGAGAGGGAGAAAGGATTAGAAGGCCTTTTTAGTGAGATACTAGCAGAGAACTTTCCAGGTTTGGAGAAGGACAGAGAAATCCTAGTACAGGAAGCTCATAGAACCCCTAATAAACATGACCAAAAGAGATCCTCACCACGACACATTGTAATTAAACTCTCCACATTGAAACATAAAGAAAAGATCCTAAAATGTGCAAGAGAGAAATGTCAGATTACTCTCAGAGGATCTCCAATCAGACTCACAGCTGACTTCTCATCAGAAACCCTACAAGCTAGGAGGGAATGGCGAGATATAGCACAGGTACTAAGAGAGAAAAACTGCCAGCCCAGAATATTATATCCTGCAAAGCTCTCATTTGTGAATGAAGGTGAAATAAAGACTTTTCATAGCAAACAGAAATTGAAAGAATTTGTCGCCACTCGTCCAGCCCTGCAAAAGATGCTTAAAAGATGTGTTGCACACAGAAACACAGAAACACGGTCATCAATATGAAAGAAGGTAAAGGAAGGAAAGCTCACAGCAAAAGATCACAGGGAATTCAAAGCATATATTAGAACTTATCTTTGGCAAATGGCAGGGCAAAGTTACCACTTATCATTAGTCACATTGAACATTAATGGCCTACTGTCCAGTTAAAAGACACCGATTGGCTGATTGGCTTAAGGAACAAAACCCATCTATTTGCTGCTTACAAGAAACACATCTTTCCAACAAAGATCCATACAGACTGAAAGTGAAAGGCTGGAAAAAGATATACCATGCCAACAGAAATGAAAAAAGAGAAGGCGTAGCCATCTTAATATCGGATGACAACATAAACTTTACCACAAAAACCGTTAAGAGAGACAAAGAGGGACACTACATAATGATTAAGGGATCAATTCAATAGGAAGATATAACAATTATCAATGTACATGCACCTAACTACAGGGCACCGGTTTATCTAAAAGATTTGTTAAGGGACTTAAAGGGAGACTTAGACCCCAATACAATAGTACTGGGGGACTTCAATACTCCACTCTCAGAAACAGATAGATCAACAGGACAGAAGATCAACAAGGATACAGTAGATTTAAACGACACTATAGCCCAAATGGATCTAACAGATATATACCGAACTTTCAATCCTACAGCTAAAGATTTTACATTCTTCTCAGCAGTACATGGAACCTTCTCTAGGATTGACCACATACTAGGCCATAAAGCAAGTCTCAGCAAATTCAAAAGAATTAGAATCATACCATGCAGCTTCTCAGACCATAAAGGAATGAAGTTGGAAATTAGCAACTCAGGAATCCCTAGAGCATACGCAAACACATGGAGATTGAACAACATGCTCCTGAATGAACAATGGGTCATAGAAGAAATTAAAAAAGAAATCAAAAATTTTCTGGAAGTAAATGAGGATAACAGCACAACATACCAAAACTTATGGGACGTAGAGCAAATATATGTCACTTTATAAATGTAACCTTAATGATAATCCTTCCCATGAGTGGAATACAACGTTGTCTGAGGCCAAACCAACAAATAAAACAGAGGTGAAGATATGGAGGCCTACGGATGTGAATAAATACCCTGTATTCAGAATGAGAAGGGATTCTGTGTGACTGGGATGTTATGGCAGTAAATAGAAAATAGCTGAGATTTGAAGAGTTGATAGATAGAAAAAGGATTTGTGAAGATGAAGGGATCCAGCATGCAAAGAACTAACAGAGGTTAAGTTGGAACTTTTAGCTCACAGTCACATAAAGGCCTTACAAAATTATCCCACCTGATAGAAGTTCTGAGTACACAGGCTGTAGTGGGAGAGGAGGCTGGAAATGAGATTCCTGTCAAGACGTAGAAAGCATTACCCTATCACAGTATGGGTCACAAGGTCAGCCAGTAGTATCTTTTGCACCACTTTATATTTTGTTTTGCTTTGATCCTTTAACAAATTTAATTACATGAATAGGTTTATGGAAAGTATCATTTATTTAAAATCAATAGTCCATATTGGTTATAATTACATAAAGATCAATAGTTTAAAACTGAATTTTTAAAATCAGTTTCTAGGTTGGTGCTTTTCTCCCATCATAAGAGAAGTCAAAGATCTATTGCTGCTTCTTGTAATTTAGACTGAGACTCATAAATAAAGTGAAAATATTGATTGCCCCTGAAACTATAAAGATAAATGCATAAAATCACCCATTACACGTTGGGGGTGGTTTTGAACAGTTCATGTTACAAAGAAGTCAGCAAAGAATTCATCTTCAAAGCTGAGAGATTGGGATTAAAAATCTAATAATAAACAGAAGTTTTTCTAAAGATGATATAACTAAATTTCTTCACAGAGGCCTTATTTTCATAGTCATTATTTCTGACTCAATCAACCTCCCATTTTTTTGTAGATTCTATTGATCTAATGGAATAGAGCTTTCTCAGGAAGCTCTTGCTAACTCAAATGATTAGATTGGTTTCCCACTTTTTGCACTGATGCTACTCTGGGTAGATTGTGTTGTAGTCTCTCCAAGTAGGCAAGACCCATTACCTTATTTACAATTTTATCTTTAGTACTTAGTGCAGAGTCCTGGAACTAACTTGTTCATTCATATCATTAATTTAAATATTTGCTCTCGCATTAAAAGTAAGAAGAATCTCTCTTCATCATATATCAAAGTGCTTGAGGCTACTAAGGTAGTTTAAAGAAACAGAATTTAACCTCATTGCTCATTATTGGATTTGCAATTAAGAGAAATGTGTCAGAAAAAGTGAAGTGATATGGCAAATTAAAATGTAAGAGCACAGGTGAGAGTAGAGAACATTCTGGACCTTACCTTTTCCACATCTCTCTTCATCACATATCAAAGTGCTTGAGGCTACTAAGGTAGTCTGAAGAAACAGATTTTTAACTTCCTGGCTCATTGTTGGATTTGCAGTTTAGAGAAATGTGGCAGAGAAAGTGAAGTGATGTGCCAGTTAAACTGTAAGAGCACAGTTGAGGGCAGAGAACATTGTCTGGCTTACCTTTTCCACATCGCCCAGGCCCTCAGTGTCCAGGAGGACCAGGGTGTGGTTTGGCTTGGAGGGGTGGGGCACGCACCACATCCAGATGCCCTTGGTTTCAGATTCTATGGTGGAGCCCAGAGGGAAGCCTGAAGGGAAGAGGACAATTAAAAAACCCTGAGAGCAGGCTGACACGGGTGGCCAGGGGTTATATTCATTAAACCTGTAGGAATACAGGCTAGGTCAGGAAAATAGGCATTCTCTGAAAACAAATTATGTATATATATACATATATATAATTGTATAAATATGTATCATAATATAATCATTACATATAACAAGCTTATATAATCACATAAAATTGTATAATATATGATTATATATTAATCATATATATATTATCTTCTAAAGAAATGTTTTTTCTTTAAAAGACTCAAACTACATCTCTTGGTAGAGCTGGTAGAAGTCTACTACCCCACGTCATCTTATCTGACACTAAAGAGCTCTCCTGCCTCCCAGCTTCTCTTAGGGTTCCATCAGTGGGAAGCCTCACAGGAGACAGGAAGGCAGGCACATGTTGCTTCTGCTTCCACCTTGCTGGGCCTCAGTCCTCCCTTCATGTGGCTGCATCCAGTGGTGTGGTCTTGACCATGATCTGGCATCAACTCTTGCCTGTCTCTTCAGGCTGGAGGGATGATGACGCCCACCCGGACATTGTCATTGCCCTTCCCTGGTGCTCTCTGATGCTGCAGTGTCTCTCTTTACCCCACACAGTCCCCGGGAGATCCCTCCATGGAACTCTCCTCGATTATTTTTGAATTGATTGTCCGTTTCCTGCCAGAAGATTGTCCGTTTCCTGCCACAACTTATTCTACACATTAGGGTTTGTGTTTTTCTCACTCCTTTCTCTTCCCCTTCAGCTTTGTATTCTTTTCTCTTCTTCAAGCTAATTATGAGTCCTGTGTCATTATCCTCAGGAGGGAGATGTAAGTTAAGGGAAAGCAGCACAGAGCTGTGAGTCCTGTTGGCCCTGCTTTCCACAGGCTGACGCCCAGAAGGAGATGATTTGAGGTTCATGCCCAGGAACCAGTGGATGGTATTTTCTGCCCAGCAGCATTTTGACCATCTGTCTTAGGCCAATGTTTCCTCCATATGATAAAAGAATTTGAGTGTTTAAGTCTCTTCACATTTTTCATAATACACAAGTTCCATGAACATTTTGAAGAATCTCAATCACAAGAATTTGAAAAATTGTGCACCAAAAGTAACTTACCTTTTAGTTCTATATTCTATATCCTTTCTGAAGTTCCTTCCTATAAACACACAAACACACACGCACTCACTCACACACATACACAAAGAGTCACAGAGTAAGAGAGAGAAATAGTGATCTGTTTCTGCTTATGAACCTGGACCAGGACAGTTCAGATGTTTAAAGCCTTTTGAACCACAGACTCTCTTAGTAGAGTACAGAGAATTTGCTATATTGCTATTTAAGTATGTCATGAGTGAACAATAAGAACAATGTTGTTGATCCTTTAATTCTGATATCTGTCTCTTACAGTTATCAACTCTATCATATGGGACATGTACTCTATAGAATACTATACAGCAGTAAAAAAAAAAAAACAGCAAACAATGAAATCCGGTCATTTGCAACAAAATGGAGGAATCTGGAAAACATCATGCTGAGTGAATTAAGCCAGTCCCAAAGGGACAAATATCATATATTCTCCCTGATTGGTGACAACTAACTGAGCACCAAAGGGGAAACCTGTTGAAGTGAAATGAACACTATGAGAAACAGTGACTTGATCAGCCCTTGTCCTGACTGTTGATGTACAATGTAATACTTTATCCATTTTAGTATTTTTTTTTTGTTCTAGTACTATTGGTTGAACTCTGTAATTAACCCATTCTTAGGTGTTCAAATTTTAACTGAAAAGTGATCCCTGTTAAATATAAGAGTGGGAATAAGAGAGGGAGAAGATGTACAATTTGGGACGTGCTCAATTGGACTTGCTCCAAATGGTGGCGTTAGAAATGTGCCACGGGATTCCAATTCAATCCCATCAAGGTGGCATAAACCAATGCCATCTCAGTAGTCCAAGTGATCAATTTCAGTTCACAATTAATCACACTGATAGGTCTAAGAGTCAAAGGGATCACACAAACAAGACTAGTGTCTGCTAATACTAACCGATAGAAGAATCAAAAAGGGAGAGAACGATCCAACATGGGAAGTGGGATACACAGCAGACTCATAGAATGGCAGATGTCCTAAATAGCACTCTGGCCTCAGAATCAGCCCTTAAGGCATTCGGATCTGGCTGAAGAGCCCATGAGAGTATTTTAGGCATGGAAAGCCAAGACACTCTGGGAAAAAAAAAAAAAAAAAAAAAAAAAAAAAAAAAAAAAAAAAAAAAAAAAAAAAACCTATATGAAAGATCTCTGCGAGTGAGATCCCAGTGGAAAGAATGGGGCCATCAAAGAAGGAAGTACCTTTCTCTGAAGGGAGGAGAGAACTTCCACTTTGACTATGACCCTGTCTGAATAAGATCGAAATCGACAAACTCAACAGGCTTCCATAGCCGTGGCAACTGATGACTAGAGCCTAGGGAGATTACTGACGCCATAAACAAGAGTGTCAAATTGTTAAGTCAACAGATGGAGTCACTGTGTATTTACTTCTCATGTGGGATCTGTCCTTAATATGTTGTCCAATGTGAAATAATGCTATAACTAGTACTGAAACAGTATTTTACACTTTGTGTTTCTATGTGGGTGCAAACTGATGAAATCTTTACTTAATATATACTAAATTGATCTTCTGTATATAAACCTAATTGAAAATGAATCTTGATGTGAATGGACTGGGAGAGGGAGCAGGAGATGGGAGGGGTGCGAGTGGGAGGGAAGTTATGGGTGGGGGAGCCATCATAATCCATAAACTGTACTTTGGAAATTTATATTTACTAAATAAAAGTTAAAAAAAGCATATGGAATTCCAACAAATTAAAGTGTATTCTACCAACTGATGATGAAGAATGTCTCTAAGAGAAAATTAATGAGAATTACTTAGGAGTCAATGGAAGATTGGAAGTAAAAAGGGGAGAAGGAATAAGAGAGGAAAAAGAAAAAGGTGAGAGGAAGGTTGGGAGGGAGCAATTGAGGGAAAGAGTATGTGAGAGAGACAGAGATGGAAAGCAATTCAGGATCTTCACAATTCAGTTGAATGAAGTTCAGTCCTTAATGATGTTGAGCCAGGCAGGAAGTCAGTTATTAGGGGAGAAATTTTTGCATAATTTTTACAATAGAAACAACAAATAGAAGAACAACCACATTGTCCCAAATGTCAGTAAAACCAAAGAGAGAACTGGTAGGGGAAAAAAAGAAATTTCATAAGCCAGGAAATACAAATGGCAAATCAATGTGAAAACATGCTCACATTCAGTCATCATGAGATAAATAGTATATAACTACACAGTCTAGAGATAAGCCAAAATTTTAAATTTGTCTCATGTTACTAAACTTATGTAGTATATGTATTATTGTCCATTGCTATTAAAAAGCACAGAAATTGCACAGAAAGAAATTTAATATTATCAGAAAAGACTGAAGACACACATTATCTATGATTCTCCAATTGCATTCCTGGATATTTTGTAAAGGGAAGATTTGTACATATTCACCAGAATATAAATACAAGAACATTCATGACAGCCTCATGCATGAATGATAATAGCTAGAAATAATACCAATGTTCATTAACAACAAATGGATAAATAGGGTGTAGTATTCTCAGACAATGGCACAAAGTATCATAGCATAAATAAGTAAGTTGTCATTATATATATCATATGTAAAGGATTCTTAAAGCTTTTGCTAAGAGAAAGATGAAAGATACCCAAGACTACAAACACTATAATTCCTTGTATATAAAGTACCAAAAGAAACGCCAAAGTGTACTGATGTTAGAGTGTATACAATAGGCTGTAAGACTATTTTTTTAAAAAGCAAAAGTGGAAGGAGTGTGCCTGAGATACCAAAATATTGATGAATATTTTGATGAATAGTGAGAGTGTAAGGGGGTATTATTTGGACCATTTGATGGTGATAAAGTTTTATTTCTTGATACTGATTACGCACCATTCACTTTATCTTTATTAACTTTATGTACATATGTATGTTATATATTCTTCTATATGTATTGGTTTACATTTTGCAATATGTTTAAAGTGGAAAGAGAAGGGGAAAAACTTATGATGGCATGAAGCAAAATAGAAGGCATTGTAGCTCAATTTTAGTATTGGATATACAGTAACTCTACTATGCATGCTCCTGAATATTTACTTTTTAAAACTTTTACAATTTTATGTGCAATTTGAACTAAATATATAGCTTATGGAAAAATGGATATAAGAAGAAAAAGGAAGTAATTACTGCACCTCACCTCCTAGGCATTATAGTGGAAGGGATTAAGGTGACCAACAGGTGGTTGGAACAATGGGTAAGACGCAATTTGGGACAAATTTAGTACATATCAAAGTGGCTAGGTTCAAGTTCCACCTCTGTTTCTGATAAATTCTTTACTAGCACATATTGTGGAACGCCAGGCACCTGTGATTCCTGGATAGGCTTCTAAGTGCTTCTGGCCTCCCTCAGCCCTAGCTGTTGAGGGCATTTGGAAGTGAACCAGAAGATGAAAGATCTCTGTCTGTCTCTCTGTCTCTCTGCTCTTCAAATAAATATAAATAAATAGTAAAAATGCAAAGAAAATGAAGTGGAGTGGATCTTTTGAAAGGGTTGGTGAATTCTTCATTAATGGACCAAAGAATGAGATTCACTGGACACGTGGTTGAGGTAAAACTTAGGAAGTGAGAATTAGATGGTTTTTTTTTTTTTTGGGGGGGGGGAGTCATGCTCTTCTTTAAAGTGACACTAGACAAGGTGTTATCAGCATGTGTTGTCACTGGTGCCAAGTAAATGACCCTTGTCCCAGGCCCACACTCACCATGTTTCTGTCCAGCAAGGCGATTCATGAGGTAGGATTTTCCTGTACGATACAATCCCACAATGGCCACTACTACTACAGGTTGAGATATCTGGTTAAGAATCTCCAGTGCTTTGGGATTCACTATCATTTGCTCTTTCCTATTTTCGACTAGACACACGGGGGCCTTCATGGTGAATTCAGTTGCCATGGTAACCTATAACCCAGAAAATTCATTTATTAGAAAATAAGATCCTGAAGTCATAGCTAGTATTTATTTGACAAAAATGTATATAGGGTTTCCGCTTGTGGAATATGTATGCCAATTTGCTGTGTTCTGTATCTCTAAAGGAAAAATCTTTCCTCCAGCATGTCAAGGCCTAGGACACATGCCTCATGAACAATGTCTTATGGTTTCTACAAGATCTCTAAAAACTCTGCCTTGGTTCTATTAGAATAGAACAAGAAAGGCAAACTGCTAATGTCAGTACCTTAAGAACACTAATATAATATTTTGGGGGTAAATAGAGACAGATTATGACATGAAGGAAAAGAAGAGTGCTCAGAAAAAGATTGTAGACATCTCAGAAAAGTTGTGTCTATCATTAATTTCCCAAATATTTCATGAGTACTTGCTATTTACTGGGCCTTGTTCTAAGTGCTCAGTGTTAGGCAGTGAGCTGAATTGATATCAATTCCTGTCTCTTGGAGCTCTCCCTAGTGAGGGGAGACAGATAATACACAGAGGAAATAAGGAAAAGAAAGCAGGTTAAGTATGATAAGTTCTCAGAAGAAAATATACAGAGAATAAGAATGGGGAGGGTTGGGGATTGAGTATATATTTTGGAAATCCCTGAGAGTCTCCCAGTGAATTGGATCCCAGACCTCGATGAGGTCCGGTTCAGTGACTCGTGTGGCATGAGCACGAAAGATGAAGGATTGGAATAACTGGATAAATACTGGGACTAGGAATTCCTGTAATTGGGATAAACAGATACTGGCTGTCAGTGATGGGGAAGAGATGCAGGAGCCAGGGTATCTGGGATCTGCCTAGCTATGACAGAATCCCTCATCCTGGTGAAGAGAGAGAATGGGTCAGGCAACAGGAACCCAGAGCTGTCCCGGGATGTCACAGCACAGATGCTGCTCTTGGACTGCCAGGATGCAACCTTAGGGTTCAAACACCCATTGCCTGGAAATGGACTTCACCTTTGTAAGCGTAGACTTTCTTATCAGTGTTACAGGAAAGCAATGATGACTGCCCGATTCATTCATGTGATGCTGAGAAAAACAGAACCTCGGTGAAAATATTTTTAAATTTTCAGGGATAATATTTTCTTCCTACAACAAGCAAGTTAAAATGTATTAATATATGGGCCGGCGCCATGGCGCACTTGGTTAATCCTCAGCCTGCGGCATCGGGTTCTAGTCCCGGTTGCTCCTCTTCCAGTCCAGCTCTCTGCTGTGGCCTGGGATAGCAGGTGTTCGGGCCCCTTCACCTGCATGGGAGACCAGAAGGAGGCTGCTGGCTCCCGGCTTCGGATCTGCACAGCGATGGCCATAGTGGCCATTTGTGGGGTGAACCAACAGAAGGAAGACCTTTCTCTCTGTCTCTCCTTCTCGCTGTCTGTAAACTCTACCTGCCAAATATATAAATTAATAAATCTATAGAAAATGCATTAATATATTCCAATTTGTAATTTAAGATGAAAATTACCAAGAAATCATAAACATCATGGATATCTGTTAAAAAAAAAAACGAGCAAGTTGTTTTTTAAGAACCTTTAACTATACAATTTCTCTCTCTTTTTTTTTTTTTTTGTAGGTAGATGGCTTTGTAGGTAGATGGGAGCAGAATTTGGGAAGTGAAACAAGAGCTATTCATTGCTATGCACAAAACAAAATGAACTACAGGATTTTTTTTTAACTCAAAGTAAATAATAGTTTGGGGAAAGAATTTTTTTTTTTTTAGTTTCTAAATTTTTCTTAGTTTCTTTAATGCAAAGTATTCTGAGAACGCCCAAAGCAAGAATTAGGTTCTCTGTTTTTTTTACAAAATTGTCACTGATATAGAAAAGTCAAACTTAGAGATTAGAATTGTCTAAGGTGGGAATCTTTGAGTTTCTCCAAATGCACAGAAGGGGGCAGGCAGCTAGGAAAGGAGTGAGCAGAGAAGCAGGGTTGCAGGAAGTGAACCAGAGCAGCGCCTCCGCAGGGGGCTGAAGGTGGGTCTCTGCGGCCCTTTAGGTAAAGGGGGGTGGGATCCATTCCTCCAAGCCCCGCTCTGGAACTTTTGCTGCAGCCTCAGGTGGAACCCCGGTAGGTTCAGCGCATACCGGGGAGTCGGGGCAAGACCTTTGGCCCAGGCAGAGACGCGGGGCCTCCGGGAGAAAGCCTCCGCGGGCCACAAGCTAAGGTCTTGGACTCTGTCCTCCCGCCGCCCCGCCCGCGCCAGCTGCCCGCGCAGAGCCTAAGCTGGAATCCGTGGTGGTCGCTGTCAGTGAAGGGAAGGGGCAAGGACGACCAAGCACTGCCGCGCACTCACCGGCCAGGGCGCCCCAGTCAAGGCCAAGTTCTCTGCTGCCCAGGCTCACCTTTAGGGCTCTGCTCCCGGTCTGGCTCCTGGTAAACACTCTTGATGAGACGAAAATAAGCCACACCTCACCTTTCAACTAAGAGTCAGTAGAAGGAGAATCGAAATCGAAACCACACTTGCTAAGTTTTTCCTGGTTTGTGGAATGCGGTTCCAGGGAGGTCCAGGCTGCCTGCCAGTTTCTGAACCTCTGCCCCTGCTTCTCCCAGCTGAAGCCCCTGTGTCTGTGTCCAAATGGCCTCCCTTCACTCAGACAACAGCATCTTTGCCACATCTCTGGTGGCCACCGCAGGCATCGCCTGGGTTACACCGCACACTCCTGGGCTAGCTGACTGCCCCCGGAGAAGAGGTCCAGGGGCTTGCCCAAGGCCTGGCAGGGACAAGCGCTGTGTCCTCTGAGATGCAATCCGGAAATGCTTGGCAAGGGGCTGCTGGAGGGGGCGCCCACCCTGGCTGCTGCTGGGAGTTGCTGAGGAGACACAGGCAAGCACCCTGTGTTCCAGGCAGGCCTCAGAAAGGGCCCCTTCACACCTCCCAGGCCCTGGGAGGGTGGCTCAGGTAAGCTGAAGAATGTGTCTCAGTTTTCCCTGGGAGCGCCCACTCCGGACCTTCTAGGTTCCCACTGAAAAGGACAATTCTTTCCATTCCTTAGATGTCACAGCGTTCACATATTCAAAGGTGACAGACTTCAGTGTTTGAGGTGGGCAGAGGCGAGCTGTCCATCAATACTGTGCCAGAGGGGACAGCAGCACCCAACCCAGGAGTGAGCACCGAGCTGTTTGCACATGGGGCCTGTGGAAGAGCTGAGGGAGTAAGAAAATTTCTGCAGGTATGGTCACTCCCTGCTGCTGGTTAGTTCAAGCCTCTGGGATCTGGGCACTACATCAGCAGTGTCTCCCTCTCTCACCTGCACTGCAGGTCCCCAGTAGACACAGTAGAAACGGAGCGTTAGGGTGCTACACGTATACCACAAAGCACAGCCATAGGAAATACAGCAGACATCTGCCTCGAGGACCTGTCTTCCCTTACCTTGCAGGATTTATTTGGATATTAAAGATGGGAAACCTGTGCAGCTCTGGCCTGAAGTGACGTATTCTTATTTGGTGCCTTATACTGAATCCTCTTGTCCTGGATCTTTTCCCTCTATTCTAACTCTGTTTGCTTTTCAATCTCCCTTTTTTTTTTTCAAATGACTCTGCTGATGTTGGTCCCTGTTGTGTTGCCAGCAGCCTTCAAACCTGAGGTCTGAGGTCAAAGGCAGAATGGTTGGCTCTTTTAGATCATGGTTGTCTGGCAGCATTTGGACCCTATGGGCTACTTTAAGCATGATGCAAAAACACAGTTTTCTTGTGAAGGTTTTTAGTAATGAATACAAATCTTCATGTGTACAGCTTTTAGGAATCTAGTGTTTCTTTCCTCAATTCCTCCTTCCACCCACACTCCCATCCCCCCTCCCATTCCCTCTCCAGTTCCATTTTTCCATTAGGATTCATTTTTAATTGACTTTTTAAACAGAGGACCAGCTCTTTACTAAGAAGAGATTTCAACTATTTGCACCCACACAAACAAACAAAATATAAAGTACAGTTTGAAGACACATTTTACCAATAATTCTCATAGTATACCTCATTAAGGACAGAGGCCCAACAGGGGGAGTAAGTGCGGAGTGACTCCTCTTGTTGATTTAACAATTAACGTTCTTATTTTTTATGTCAGTGACCACTCAAGGCTGTTGACATGACCTGCCAAGGCTATGGAAGCCTTTTGAGTTCACAAACTCCTTCAGTTTTTAGACAGAGCCATATGCAAAGTGGAAGTTCTCCCTTCAGAGGAAAGCACATCCTTCTTTGATACCCCTTCTTTCCACTGGGGTCTCGCTCACAGAGACCCTCCATGCAGAACTGTTTTTACCAATATGTCTTGGCTTTTCATGCCTGTAACGCTCTCATGGTGTTTTCAGTCAGGCCTTTTGGGCTGATTCTGAGGTCAGAGCGCTGTTTAGGGTGTTTGCCATTCTATGAGTCTGCTGTGAGGACTGCTTCCCACGTTGGAACTTTCTCTCCTTTGTAAATTTATCTATTGTGATTACCAGGCACTTGGTCTTATTTATGTGATCCCTTTGATTGATGGTCCTATGTATATGATCAATTCCATACTTAATATGATCACTTTATCACATAAGATGGGATTAGTGCCACCAAGCTAAGTGGGATTTGGAGTTCCATGACAAATTTTTAGCTTCACCCTTAGGGGTAAGTCTGTGGGAATGTGTGCTGATCTGTACAGCTCCTCCCTTTCTCATTCCCACTCTTATTTTTAACTGGGATCTATTTTCAATTGACTTAATATATCTATGATTAATTCTATGTTAAGTAAGGAGTTCAGCCAATAGTAATAAGTAGAGGAAAAAAAGAATAAAATATAGATAAAGTGAAATAATAAAGTGTGCCTCGACAGTTAGGACAATGGCTGTTCAAGTAATTGCTTCTCATAGTGTCTGTTTCACTTCTACAGCTTTCCTTTTGGGTGCTCTTTAGTTGTCACAGATCAGGGAGAACATATTATATTTATCCCTTTGGGACTGGCTTATTTCATTAAGTGTGATATTTCCCAGATTCATCCATTTAGCTGTAAATGATCAGATTTTGAAAAACACAGTTCTTTCAGAGGCTTTGATGAACAGACTGTCAGTGTTTTTAAATCACAAGAAGTAAAGCCATCTGCAGCTTTTCCAGGAAGCTGAACTCTAGTATCTATTTCGGGACACAGATTGAAACTTTATATCCTTTCACAAATGAAAATGATAGGGAAAGCAGGAATGGTTTCTTTGAAAAGGAACAAATGAAGGAACGAATGCTCAGAAATCAGGTGCCTATTCTTCTGACCAATCAAATCTATTGTTTACTTCGGTCACCAAAACATGGTCCAGGAACAACTGGACACTTTGGTGAATGTTTATGGAATAACGGAACTTCCTGCTTACCATCAAACCCCTTTCCAGAGTAAGCAAATCTGTTCCTGTATATAACTGGAAACATTGGCTCAGAGTGATTTAACATTGAGCATATCAGTTTTGAGGGCTATGCTTATAAATCTGTAATTTGTATAGACCACAATACTTCAAAATTAAAGGTGTTGCTCTCTCATTGAGTGGATTAATGATTTTTTCCTTATTTTCTGTGAGTCATGAATGTCAGTTCATGAGTATAAACTATTTTTATAATTATAGAAGTGCACATACATGACTGTGGAGAGTTTTCCATTTTAAGAAAAAAACATTTATTTAAAGAAATCATTTCTAGATAACTTATTTATTGGGTGTTTGTTTTCAACTGGCCATTTATTGTTACACATATGTTTCATAAGCACCTGCTATAGGCAAGGCACTGTTGTATTAGGGTTCACTGGGCACAGAAGAACTATTCATATAAGGAAAATTTAGATGGAAAGGGCCTTTTGGAATGAGGGATGGTTTTGTCTATAGGCTTGGATAAAAGCTAGATTATGACAGAGTTGCAAAAGACAGAAGAAACACTTTCAGGCTGGTGCTGTGGCATAGTAGGTTAAGCCTCTACTTGTGATGCCAACATCCCACACATGCTCTGGTTTGAGTTCTGCCTGCTCCACTTCCATTCCAGCTCCCTGCTAATGGCTGGGAAAGTCAGTAGAAGATGGCCCAAGTGCTTGAGCCCCTGTACCCATGTGGGAGACAAGGATGAACCTGCTGCCTCTTGACTTAGGATCAGCCTAGCTCAGGCTTTTGGCGGCCAACTGAGGAATGAAGCAGCAGATAGAAGACCTCTATCTCTGTCTCTCCCTCTCTTTGTCTGTAAATCTGCCTCTAAAATAAATAAATAAATCTTAAAAAAAAGAAATACTTTCTCTTGCTGATATATCAGAGGGAAATAACTGAATGACACGAGCAGACTGGAATTGGGGCTATTATTAATGTATTTGTGTGATAATTTGCTTAACACATTTCAGAACATCTCAGCAGTGTGCTGTGTGTATGTAGATGGTGATCCCAATTTTCAATCATGGGGTGATTAGTGAACACTAGATTTGCTCCTAACTAGAATAATCACCTGGAGAGTTTGCAGAATAGCGTCCTCTGAATGGATAACAAAACATTTGTTAGTTGTGTTAAGAGATGGTATAAATAATGAAGTCAGTGGGGTTAACAATATGGGAAGGGTAAGAAGATGTGAATAGGATAGAACTCCTTAAAGGAACAAGGCATAGGCAACTGCTGGCCCAGTAGCCTCTGCCAGCTGTGCTGAGTGCCAGGGTAGAACTTGTTGTTCTCCGTATGCCCAGTGCAGAGACTCCTGCCTTCTTTAACACCCAGACCAGCATTCCCGACAGAACCCCACTGTGACTCCCATTTCACCCAGCAGACCTCCCCAGGGGCAGGCAGGCTTTTAAAAGTTCTTGTCTCCTTGCTACAGTCAATGAACACACAGCATGGAATCTGATATAGGGATTTTTCATTGTATTGCAAAACCTCAGTTCAAATTTGTGGCTGTGGGAAGTTTGGCTTCCTGATTTCCAACTGTCCTGTCCTGGCTGAGGAGTTGCTTCCCCTTGTCTGTGGACCTCTTGCTCAATATAGAAATAAAGGGAAAAGTCCTACAGAGAGAATACAAAAGCAAAGCACTGACTGAACTCATCTTTGATAAGCAACAAAAGCCCCCAGCACAGAGAAGGGGCCCCCCATGGCTGGGAGTCCCTTGCCCCAGGTGGGCTGGTCTCTTCTGTTTCTTCTCCCTCCCCATTATCTGTGATGTACTGGCCCCTCACTAGTGCATGCAGTAGGGGTCCTGTTTGGATTTACTCCCCTGCCTCTGTTTAGGAGCACAGAAGAGATTGATAATTGGTTAGTGTTTTCCATATCTTATATATCATACCACTACTCTTTTTTTGGTCTATTTAAACTGTGTTTCCTTCAGTTTTGTTTTTCAAGGGAGAGGTTTAAAATCCTGGAATGCACCCCAAGTCCACTCTTTTTTTTGACCCCAACTCAAGAGCCCTCTTTCCCTACACAACCACCAAGGATACTCTTATTACCCAAATAATCTGATACCTGCCAATGGCCACATATCTTCTACACATGTGTATGCAAAGGACCAAGGTAAAGTTCAAGAGAGCCCCTGAGAATGTCAAGGACAGTGTAAAACACAGAGTGCCCAGTGATCCAAGAGCATCAGGGAGTCCAGCTCAATCATGGCTTAACTAAAGGGGGATTTAGATCAAAGTTTACAAATACACCACTTTAAAGTAATTATGTCTTAAAGTGTGATAACATAAAAAGGTTTCTGTTAATCTCTTAAGGGTTT